TGCATTATCATTTATATAAATGTGAATGCGCGATTGTCGACTGTTCCTGGAAAGATTCAAGATCACTTACTTGCTGCGCCTCGCTAGAGTGGCGACATGCTTTGGTATAGGGGATGTGACGCCCCTTCGGCCGCGGCCACCATTTTGCTTCCCGCGGTGTGTTGGTTTCGTATAGGGAGTATTCACTGGCGCCCATATTCGCGTGCGCTGCTGCTGAGCGCGTGCTGACGGCGAGCTTCCGCAGTCCTTTGGGAGCGTGCATTTAGCACCATCAAGGTTGTCGGTCTTAGCAGGCTAATAATGTGAGCTCGTTCTGAGCATGCGCTCTAAACATCACCCTCAAATATGGCGTCCAGTGAATGCCTCCTATACATGAGACTAGAGTGACTCTACATGAGAGGAGCGGATCACCTTAGGCCCGCGAAAATGTCTAATTAATTGGTACTCGTGTCCGGATATATTATTCCAAGAGGAGGCTCTCTCGGCTGGGAAGTCATCGAATTATCGCAAATGCCGTTATCTCTATCACTTAAAAAAAAAACGCCCGTGCGTCTACTCTCTCACACAGCACTCGGAGAGCCAATCACAGCAGCTCATGAAGGAAGCTCAGCGAATGACGATGCCGAAGCATATGCTTAAAACAAAAAAAAAAAAAAAAAAAAAAAAACGCAGTTTGATTTGTGACATTAAGCAATGCAAAACGTCACGCTTGCATTGCTTAATGTAACAACTCAGACTGCGTCTTTTTTCTTCCTAAACATATGTTTCGGCATCGTCATTCGCTGATCTGCTCCGTAAGTTGCGGTGATTGGCTCTCCGTGTGTCGTGCGGAAAAGTAGACGCACGGGTTTTTGTTAGAGTGTATAATGTTTTCGGCATTATCATTAGATGCAGGGCCGAACACAAACGCATCGTTGATGGCACACGTTACGTTACACGTTCTTAATGTTACTCCCGCGCACTTTACAAGTTGTACCGTTGAATAATGACGTAAACGGCTCATAAACGGCTGCGCATAAGTGGGAGGCAAGATGTCGGTTTGGCTAGCAGTCGACAGAGTTGTCCTCACTCTGTGAGGGCCACCAGCACAGCAACTTTGAGGAATTCTTGCCGCTGCGTGCATGCAGCGTCATGAAGCAGCGGGTCGGCGGCTTATTCTTTCGCGAGCCAAATATGGCAAGCAGTGAGAGGTGCGGAGGTCATCCCGGATGCAGCCTCATGACCCTCACAGTACGGAGCGGCCGACGATCCAGTGGTCACCTTCATACCGATTGTGACTGTGAATTTACTTTAATTTTACATATTGCTCTCACATTTCATTTTGATACCCCTTAGGTTGCTCAATCGGCGCCCGGCTGACGACCTTATTGCAAACATGTTTTTTCGTTCCTGTTTTACTCTCTAGTCCGCTTGCGCATTAAGAACTTTGGCGACCAAAAATCAACATCTGATCGAAAAAAAAGCTGTCGCTTACACTTGTTCAAGGCTACAAGGCAGATTTGTGAGCCGATATAAAGGTTCACGAATATATAAACAGTTTCTTCAAAGTATCTAATCTTGTTACACAAACATGGAACACTTTAGCAAGGATATACTGTTGTTTGACCTTCCTTTTAAGTCAGTTGATTTCGCTGAAAGCAAATTTTGAGTAGCAGGTGACAGCAGGCTCCTAAATCCGACTTACTCGACGCCTTTACGTGCGTCGTTTCAATGCTTGCATTGGATCACCGCAGCCGTAGCTTCCCCATTTTGGAAATTTATCGTGACCGGGCATATGAACACATTTCTATATGTGTGTTGTGCATATATCTCATTTCAGCAACAATGTCAGCTATAAATTGTAAATAAAAAGAAAATACTGCACTGGTTGCTCATCATATATATCAATTTTGTTTAGCCTGTCTACAGATAATTGTTGCGGAATCGTATTCTGACCAGCGGGATGACGAGGAAGCAGATTTCGTCCCATCATTGGCATACGCAGGTAACTATTGCTCAAATAACTATACTTGGCAGTCTGAGATTAAGGCATATTTCTACGCGATATAGAAATCTAGAAGCAAAAAAAAAAAAAAAAATTCGGCTAATGCAGTTTTATTACCAAGGAGAAAATATAGAGTAGTTAAAGAGATCCAGAATTCCCAATCTGGTCTACAAATTGCTCAGAGTCCGAGACATAGCATGCGCAGATATTGTTGGCATAACAAGCTTCACAGAAATGTTGGTGGGCAGCCCCATGGATACTCATCTATTTTTCGCTAAATATATGTATACATGAATAGGACAACCGAGTAATTCTTTGGTATAGTAATTATAGAATGCAGGCATTAAATATCTAGTCAATTTATAATACAGGATAAAAAAAAAGGAGTTGTAATCACTGAATGAAGTTATTTTCGAGGAATATTCCACAATTCATCATAGGTGGAACTGCTCGGACTCGACTACATTACACGTAAATATTAACCTTAACAGAAAAATTCTGAAATTTATTGTCATGATAATTTATCAAAATGTTAAATTATGATGAATTTCACGTAAATAATCGACTATAATCACTAAGATCCCCCCCCAAAAAAGGACGCAGTGTATGGTTTATTGTGTTCCCGGTTCCTGGTTCATGATTCGTTCTTCGGCACGACTAATACAGCGGTTCTCAACCACTGATGTTCGAAGCGCAATACAGGGTAGGCCGAAGTGACGGGGGACCCTAAAAGGAGGAGGGCGTTGCACAGTTACAATAACCAAAAAGTAGCGATTGAAAAAAACAAAAAAAAAACTAAGTGCGTACTGATAACGTTTTGAAGCTATGAAGCGGATAATAATCAACCCTACTAACTAGGTGCACATGGCTTCGCCTATTTAACTTTGTAAAATTGCGATTATCAACGAACAAACAATATGTAACTTAGCTGACTTACGTTGAGGGCTTCGGGGACCCGAAGAGGGCCTTCGGGGACCCCGATTGGTTCACGGACCCCAATTTAAGAACGACCGGTCTAAAGCATATATCTTAGTGGTTAGGGAGCAATAACAAGCTGCTCGGGATTCGCCACGCCATTTCTTTCTTATGCTGCCAGTCAATATAGCTGAAGTAAAGAACTCATCGTTCCCTCCCGATTCATGGGACTGCATGTAGCACCTTCACGCTGCCCCGCAACTGTCAAATAATAGGCACCAGCTTGTAGTATATTTATTAATTGAACATTATAAACTACAAAAACAATGCACTTATAGTAATCTTTGATATGATATACAATAGCCTCATGGGAAGTACGCCAGTAATTTGAATATATTATATTTATATGAGTACTAGTCACCGCATTCATATGAGTATTTTTACCTTATTTCGTAAACCTAAATTCTAAACACTCTATCGGGTCGACACTTCTTTACTAACTGTTAACTGCCATTCGCAATCCTTCGGCATAATACAAAACACAGAGATATGCCGCCTATATCTGAAAAAGAAATGTTTCTTGTATTACAGATCAATAAGAAACTGTTCTGTAGTATGCCACTCAAGTGTAGAATAAGAGCACCTTCTAATATTACATTTCACTTCAGATCCAGACACAGACAGAAATGTGGTAAGTCACTGAATATGTCGACAAAACTGAGCGGTAAAAAAGAAGGGATTCTTTAAGTCTTTACCACTCGATCACTTTGCAATGGTGGGTAAATCCCAATTTGTAAATAAGTAAGGACAAGTTCAAACGTTTCTCGGTAATTTCGTTCGAGGACTCATCATTTATCCGTCCTAGGCAAGTTATTAGGTATTTATTTTTTACTATTCGAGATGCTTTTGTTAGACAAACAGAGTGATGTGAATTACTTGTGCTTCATAACTTAGTAGATAAAATAAACCTGTCCATATAAAAGGAACGTATCTGTGATTTATTAAAAATGACGTATATTAATTCAATTTAAACAATATCCGAAGCTGTAAAAATACGCTTCTTAGCTTTCTGCATATGTTACATATAAAAAAGCACCTCGATAAACTTCAAATTATGTCTGGGAATTCACCGTAGAAAATAGCGAAAAACGGACGAGGACGAAGGGGAAACAGACGGGACGAGCGCTGATCAGTCAGCCCTTGTCCCGTGTCTTTCTTCTTCGTCCTCGGCTTTTTTCGCTTTGTTTCCTGCGATGAATTCCCACCAACTTGCCCAACTATCCCTTCTTCTATGTGTAGCACTCATCGTATATTAAAGTGAGTATGTAATGGACATCGATAAAAGAAACTAATTACACATTACAAATAGAGAGGAAAACAAATATTGGACTGGTTTTCGCACCAAAATCTCGGCGAGTTTGAAAATAAATCACCCAGCAGATAAAGAAAAATCATCACAATAGCTGAATTAGGCTGACAAAACCAGGGAGCTTGGTTTTGTCGGCGCTAAATGTAACATAACGAGATAACACGACTGTGCTCGGGTGACGTTATAGTTATGAAATACCACTTGACATCATGCCCTCACCAACAACGTCACGTCAGGTCCCATGTCACAGTGTGACATGAAACGTCACGTGCCACACCGAGGCATGTGACGTTTTAATTACGTCAGTGTTTCACGTGACGTCATAATAAGGTCGTGGTCTAACGTGACCTCACAGAGTCACGTAGCCTGATAACGTCTTCATGACATCCTGGCGTCACATGATATTGTCACGTGACATCATGATGACACAGAATACCACGCTGTCACGTGATGTCACAGTTCTTCGTGACGGTTTTCTCGTACAATTTGGCTTATAAAAGCATTTTGTGTTCGTATATGCAAGCGGAGTGGTACACCTTTGTATCGTACTCCTTTAGTGATCGCAAGTTATTTTCAATGAAATTTTCACGAATGCTACTCCTCTCTGTGCACCGATAACTGATCACGTGAATACAAGACCTATAACGTTCTCGAGAGGGACAGCCGCATTTTTCTTGTACTGGTGTTCAGAGCTTGGAAGCCACGTGCATTCTCTTTTTGTAATCTTTTTAGTCGCAGTTGATTGCCAGTAAAGGATACCCTGTCGAAGAATACGAGGTGTCCACCACCGATGGATATGTTCTGGGAATTCAACGCATCCCACGAGGACGAAACGAGAGTGGTCGCCCAAGTGAGCGCCGCAAAACGCCCGTCTTTCTTCAACACGGACTGTTGGCGTCGTCCACTGATTATGTTCTCAATTTTCCCGAACAAAGTTTGGGTAATTACCTTTTCGATTTATCGCGAAGGGAACTTGTAACATATGGCGGAGTAAAACTGACCAGGCAACGATGGATGTTGACCGGTCTTCTAGACCTGCAGAACTGGGCCACTGGGCGCCTAAATATTTAGCGACATTTCTGAGTATCATTTTCTTGTTAGGTAAAGAAATGACGGGAGCTTAAAATGGACAAGTCGGGACCAAATTTGATGGCGTTCTTGTTTTGAAATAGATTATTAGAACATTGAGCATTTAGAACGTAGGGAAAAAAAGGAACCACACACACACAACACTTTTAGTTCCTGAGTCTGGGGTGTTCAAGATGCTGAAAGTTTAGTAGCTCTCCTACATGCTATTTGTTATTAATATAATTATTTATGTATTGTTTTTGTTGCGCAATGCAGCAAATTCATATCCGATGCCTTCTTATAATACTATTGCCGGAGTGTCCAAGAACTGGTGTTACTGTTCAACTGCAGCTACATATGAGCAACTTCTTATGTAATTATTTACGGCAGATGCACACGAGTGATCGTTTCAAAGAATTTTGATGTGTGAGGTATTTATTAATTTTTTTATTTAGTCTTATGATCGGGAGGCGCTACAGGGAGGAGTGGTGGGAAACATTTGAAGAACATGTAGAGCAAATAACAGTTATGATGACAGGTGATGAAACACGCCAGACTTGAATGTAATGTGGCCGCTGATGGAGACGATGAAAGCATAAAGGTAGTTCCAGTCCACGCTGGCTTTGGGGACAAAGGAGCCGAGGTACAGGCTAGTTCTACAACTGGGTACGCCAACTTTCAATCGGTGATCGAAGCGAGATGACACACTTAAGGGGGCTGTAAAAAGTGACTGATAAAGGCTGTTGTTCTTGTAATATCTTTTATAAAAGGCAGATTCTAGAGATGCGACGCCGAATAGAGAGATCGGGCAGATGTAATGTTTGTTTCATTTGAGAGGCGCCAGCTAGACGGAAATAGTCAAACGGGCAGGTCGATTCTAGACAGATTCCAGGTTTAAAACGAGCGAGTTCATATGGGGATCCCATAGAGATGAGGCATACTCAATTTTGGAGCGCACAAGTGAATTTTATGATAAGAGTTTTAATAAAATCAGAGCGAGGAAGAAATTACGGCGAAGGAAACCGGGCCTGTGGTTAGCATTATTAGCAATGTATTCAACATATATATGCGATGAAAGGGAATGTGAACACCAAGATATCTATAAGCAGAAATTGTTGACAACCGGGGACAATTAAGGAGATAAGGGGTCGGATTGGATTGATTAGTTGATTTTATGATTCTTAATACATTGCATTTGTTAACATTGGGTTTCATAAGCCATGTGTCATGCCACACAGAGATACTGCTAAGATCGGCTCGACGAATAGATCCCTATGGGAAGTTAGATATTTCTCGACATAAGACACAATCATCAGCAAAAAATTTGATAGATGAGAAAATAGAGTCAGGAAGGTTATTAATATAGATGAGGAAAAGGAGGGCTCCTAGGGCGAATCCTTCAGGAAAGCCTTATGACAAAGAGGGAAGTTGAGATTCATGATCCTTAGTTGATACATACTGGGTGCGACCGTGAGAAATCCAATCAATCTATCCTAAACTATTGTTATCGAGGTTGAGTTTGCCGAGTTCGTAAAGTAGTAGTCGATGCAGAACTGTATCAAAGGTTTTAGCGAAGTCAAAAAAAGAAAAAAGAAGCAATCAATGGCAGATGGGCGGTACAACACAGAAAAGAAGTCATTAGTAAAAACAAGTAGCTGAGTTCCAAAGGAGTAATGTTTACGAAAATCGTGCTGACAGGTTGTAAAGAATGAATTAGACTGAAGAAAACGAACGAGACTGGAGTGTATCACATTGTGACGTTGCTAGCCGTTACAGCACCTGAGTGTGTACGTGTTACAGAGGGTCGTTTCAAATTAGGAGACCTTGTGAATATGAACAAGTTTTACTTTGAGAATTAAAATAAAGTTCAGAAATAGGGAAGAAAACGTAGGAAAGATAAGAGAGCAAACTGAAATAAATGAAGAAAAAAGAAACCTGCACGAACCAAGAGTAAATGTCGAAATCCGGAGATATCCAGAGTTCAACGTAGGTGGCGCAGTCAGTGATCGTCTGCATCACTCACAGTCAGCCGTCTTCCTTCTGTCTCTGCTCGTCGTGGGGAAGAATGAAGATCAACGTCAATCGGGACCCCTTCGCCAAGTCCCGGGGTCGACGACGGCGTCTGTTCAGACTTCTGAAGGTCGGCTTCCACCACCTGCCCAACCGGCCTTTTTCCGCTTTCCTCTTCTTCCTTCTCTTCCCCCACCGCCGCACCATTCTCGCGCACCACACACGTTCAATTAAAAAAAAAAAATCCTCCTAGACAATTTTAAAAATTGTATTTACTGTTCCAGAAACAAGAATCCTCCTTGTACTTTCAACTAACCGCCTAAATATTCAATTAAGTTCTGTATGAAACCAACATTCACATTCGGAATTCAACACTATCTTGCGCCCTAAAACAACCACAGAAATATCTGTCAGTATAAGAGAACTCTGTTCACACTGGTCCCCGACTGCGAAGGGCATACGAATGGGACATTCCAAAAATTTTTGGGGTTGCCATGGGCAACTCTTAAGTGTTCACTCCCTTGTATAATGCCCCTTGGGCCTTCAAGGAATAATAAATAATGATGATGATACGTTCAACCGAAGACATTGAGGGCATTGTCTGCTGCACATTTGACGCCATTCTCCCGGTCACCTCTAGCTCTTCGAAAATCCCCGGTACGATCATCTCTTTATTGGGGTACCCCACCGTGATTCCTTCGTTTCCGGCAGGTACCCGTGGGGCCAAATTGTGAATTAAGGATGAAAAGGACTATTCCTCGTTTTGAGAGCGTTTGTGGTGGTTGTATGCTAACTCCGGGGTTCGCTCTTCGCCTGCCGTCGGTTTTCTCATCCTGTTAACGTGGAGCACTTTCTGCTCACCAGTACGGGCGTTCTTGACGCGATACGTAAGATCAGATAGCTTTTTAATCACGTGGTGCGGGCCTTCCCTCTTAGGAAATAGCTTCTTTGATATTTCTAGTTTAGCGGCCTTTACTTTAATGTACACAAGATCGTCTATGTTGTGAGTTGCGCTTTGCGAATTTCAATTGTACAGTTCTTTTCGCTGTTCAGCTGATTCGGCTAGTTTCTCTCGTGCTGTTTCATGAGCCATTAAAAGTCTGTGACGTAGTTCATGGCAATAATTCTGAAGTTTATCGTAATTGACAGGTGGTGGCTTACATAAGATATCCGGCAAATCAGCGTTACGTCCGTAAAGTAAGTAGAAAGGCGTCTCATGTGTACTTTCATGTTCGGCTGTGTTGTATGGAAACATACAATATAGAATACGTTGGCCCCAGTCTCTCTGGTCAGCACGCACATAGAGGGATAGAATTGAGACCAAGGTTTGGTTAAGTCGCTCTACTGCTTCGTTGCACTGGGGATGATATGCTGTTGTTTGTAGCTTCAGTATCCTTAGCAATGTGCATATATCCTGGAACAATCTTGATGTAAAATTAGGGCCTTTATCTGTCAAGATTTGCCGAGGCACGCCATGGCGAAGGATCATGAGTTCCACAAACATTTTAGCAACAGTTTCGGCTTTCTGGTCTGACATGGCGACGACTTCTGCATATATAATTAAATGGTCTGCAAACACTAGAAGATAACGATTTCCTCCCGTCGTAGTTGGAAATGGCCCCACAATATCCATTCCTGCCCCTTGAAATAGTTGTGCAACCTCTTCGAATACTTGCAAAGGTGCTCGCCTTCTGTTGTGGGATGCTTTGTGACATATGCACGACACACACTGGGCACAGTAGTTCTGTATCTTCTTTTGCATTCCGTGCCAGAAGTACTTTTCTCAAACCCTTTCACTTGTTTTGCCCGTCATTCGGTGTCCAGAGTAAGGTTTATCATGACATAGTCGTATCACGTAATTTTAAAGCGATTTGGGGACAACAATTCGGTTATTGAAAAGACGATCTTGTCTCAACGTAGTAGGATCTCTCCGACAAAGAAGACCTCGAGAGCCGATAACATAGCATCCGGATTTCTTATGAGATTACTCTTCGCACATGGAGATGAGCGTGATTAACTTTCGATCATCTCGTTGTGCAGAGATAAAACCATCAGCATCACATCCTGGTTCATATTGAATAACTTCTCTAACTTCTTCTCCGCCCGGTTGCGATAGCGTTCTGATTTGTTTTTCCCGCCCGATGTTGCACTTCAAGGTTGTATTCTTGCAGCAGTAAGTTCCAGCGTGATAAACGAGAACTAGGGTCACGGGCGTTCGTCAGCCATTTAAGTGCACGACAGTCGGTTAACACCTTGAAATTTCTTCCGTACAGGTAACACCGGAACTGCTTGACTACCCAGACTACCGCCAAGCATTCTTGTTTCGTTGCTACATATTTTTGTTCGGCCGGATTTAATTTCCTGCACGCATGTGCAATGGGGTGCTCGTTTCTTCCGCACTCTTGCCCCAACACGGCTCCCGGTGCATTCTGAGAAGCGTCCGTTATCAGAATAAATGGTTTAGAAAAGTCCGGGAACCTCAACAAAGGCGCCTGCGTGAATTCATGCATCAGAACATCAAAAACCGCCTCAGCTTCAGTGCTCCAGCTGAAAGTGACCTTTGACGTAAGCGCAGTCAAATGTTTGGCGTTTTCGGCAAACTCTGGTATGTGACGCCTGTAATATCCAATAAGACCAAGAAATTGGCGAAGTTCTTTGACTGTTGTGGTCTGGGAAATTCATTAACACAACGTGTTTTTTTCTGGATCTGGTCGGACCCCGTTCGTTGACAAAATATGTCCGAAGTACTTCACTTCTTGTTTAAGAAATTGACATTTTGAGGGTTTCAGCTTTAGTCCTGCCGTTTGTAGTCTCCTCAGGACCGTCTCGATGTCTATAAGATGTTGGTCCAAGCTATGGCTG